AGAAGGAATTCGGTTTTGGATTTTCGGGACGGGGAGGAGCTTGGGAGGTCGGGGTGGGTAGGGTTATGCTTACGCGGGATTTGATATGTGTGTGTGTGGGTGTGTGTGCTCATGCTGTCTGAGGATCATCTGATCATTGAGCATTGAGCATTAGGTGAAGTGTGTTTCTAGTTGTTACTTATTTGAAAAGCTCACGACCTACAAGGGTTGGTTGTTTACGAAGAAAGATCCTCTTTCACAGGTAGCATCACTCCGGGTGAACATGTCCCGATGTCAGTATTTACATGTCTAGCAGGTCCTTAACGAGATGATCTCCTCCTATCGTGAGGGGGGACAGTCGAGCATGTCCCAGGAAGGTGACTCATGGGCCATGCAATGGTCGTTGCTCGAGCAAGTCTACTTGGATAATTGAGATAGACCGTGGAGATAGACAAATCAGGCAGCATGACACGCTTGCCAGGTACTATGACTACTAGTACCAGATGTGTTTGCTGGTTTACCCCTCGTTCTTCCATCCAGATGCGGGGGATGGTTAGGTTAGTAGCTGGGGAACATCGGGCGGATCTCCTCCGACTCTCGCCTGTTCGGGCAATTGACCTGCCCTTCAGGTTCAGGTTCAGTATGCTGCACACCTACCATGGATCGGCTGCACTGCGCTGCCAGCATGAACGCCACTCGTGGATAATAATCAGTGCAAAACAAATGGGTATTCTCCCTCATGATCCTACTTGAGAAAAATAGCTATGTGCTCCCTGCTGATGTATTTTCGAAGAACACGTCCATTCTAAGCAAGCCAGCCAACTCGCCATACGGAGTACAGATTAGTAGCGGAACAGAGGAGTGCCATGCTCAATTGCCAAGGCAAGATCTACAACGAGAATAGCCGAAGTCCCCAAGTCAATCGTGCCATTCCTCAAGGTACAGTACGTCATCGTCACAACCACAGACAAGCCCTGCTTCCAAGTGCTGCTAAGCGTGGGCATGGTTCCCGCGGTGGATGGGGAACTCCATTATATATCTCAAGAAAGAGGTCTTGGCTAGCAGGCTTGACAAGACCATCAGAGAAACCCTGCTTGGATTCAAGCACGACCAACAGGATCATTGAGTTGGGGTATTGGCCGTTCCGCCTTTTTCCGTGAGCCAAGTGAACGACGGAGTTCAGGTCAGTACTACATGCGTAGGAGGATGACTAGGGCACTGCTGGTCTACCCAGTTCGCTCTCTGTCCGTGGTAAGCTCTGGATGCAACGACCCCAGATGAATATATCCGATAGTACTCCGTATAGTGTAGCGGGCCGGTCGACTGGCTCCTTGACCGAGAAGATATATTCTGCGGTCTACTCCGCATCATGAACCCTTTCTTCCTTTCCAACCACTCCTACAAAGACCCCACTCGTTCATGCTGCCGAAATACACAAATCTACAGATTGCTGCTGGTAATGCGAATCAAGCAGATCCGCTCGGGGCTGTCGACTCTGTACCCTTTGATGGTAACGCAGTTGTCTCTCAACATCTTTGTGGTAGCGGAGTTGTCCTTAGACTTGAGGCCAAGACAGCCGCTCTGCTATCCGTGCTCATCCTTGCTTACCCGCGGGTAATGATTGAACAGGTCCGGAGTACAGTACTGAGTAATCTTGAGGGGTTTGCCTCTTTTGCAGTCCCTGCCGGGCTCATACCCGATGCAAGCCGCTGGAGAGCGTCGTATTTGGGGGATGACGATGACGATGATGGTGATGGTGATTGTTGTACTCTTCTAAGGTTCTACTGCCAACTGGTCGAAGACGGACAGCCCGGGCGGTGACCAGCGCAACAAGCCTGGGCGTGATGTTCCTGTCCCTGCTGGAGTTGGGACAGTGCGGTAATATTCCAGTACCAATCCTTACCGGACTGTTCCCTCCGTCACAGAGTCAGATTCTCAACCTCAATTCCCAACTGAAGAGGTATAGAAAGGGCCGATAGTCAATGAACAAAACAATCCGGTCGGGATCCAAAACTTACTTTCTTCCTTATCTCATCTTTTAATGGAGTTACAGCCTACTCTTTTGTGCATCGGCAACATGGATATGTGTTTAATCAGTAACCGGATCGACCCGATGCTGGCTGGGCCTCGGGCTGATTACATACGCCGCTGAGAAATACAGTATCGATAATACCGGCCCGCCAAACGAACCTCAGAAGCTTCTTGTGTCCCAACACCGAACGCCTTTTTCCCTATCCTCAATCAAACCTCCTTCCATCCGCAAATTATCCCCACTCCCCCCCTTACCCTCCTCTCCCGACCTCGCTCACTCGGAGGATTGGTTGTCTGTCCTGATATCGACCTCCTTTGGATTTCTTTTCTCTTCGCTTCTTCTTCTATTCCCTCGCCATGTTCCGCAGTCTCCTGCCGCGGGCGACACCGCGGGCTGCCCTCCGCTCTGCCGGCCCCAAGGCTGTCCCTTCCAACTTCATCGCTACTCCTTCTCTCACTCTCTTCACGAAACGTGGCTATGCCTCTGAGTCGGGTAGGTCATCGAACTCTCCTGACGATGCCGGACAGGGTGAGGCCTGTCGCGGCCGATGCCTGCTCTTCCGGATCAAAACCCTTTTCCCGGTCTGTTCCCGGCTAACCGGTGGCTTCATGGGGTAGGTGAGCACGATGTCGTGATCATTGGTGGCGGTGTCGCTGGATACGTTGCTGCTATCAGAGCTGGTCAGGAGGGTCTCAAGGTGCGATATCCTGTTTCTCTCCGCTCACGAGCGATGCGGTGAAGCCGTACACTAACCTTGGTCGCCTCTTTTTTTCCCTGTCGTCAACAGACTGCCTGTATCGAGAAGCGTGGCCGTCTCGGAGGTACCTGCTTGAATGTCGGCTGTATCCCCTCGAAATCTCTGTTGAACAACTCCCACCTGTACCACCAGATCCTCCACGACACGAAAAAGCGCGGTATCGAGGTCGGCGATGTCAAGCTCAACCTTGAGCAGATGATGAAGGCCAAGGACACCTCCGTCGAGGGCCTGACCAAGGGTATTGAGTTCCTCTTCAAGAAGAACGGTGTCGACTACATCAAGGGTACCGGTGCCCTCGTCGACGAGAACACCGTCCAGGTCAACCTTCTCGAGGGTGGTGAGCAGACTCTGCGCGGCAAGAACATCATCGTTGCCACCGGCTCCGAGGCCACTCCCTTCCCCGGCCTGAACATCGATGAGAAGAGAATCATCACCAGCACCGGTGCTCTCTCCCTCAAGGAGGTCCCCAAGAAGATGGTCGTCATCGGTGGTGGTATCATCGGTCTCGAGATGGTAGGACTTGATTTTTCCGTCAAAATCAAAATTTCCGCTGCTAACCCGTTGGTCTTTGTTGTTATAGGCTTCCGTCTGGTCCCGTCTCGGTGCTGAGGTCACCGTCGTCGAGTTCCTCGGCCAGATCGGTGGTCCCGGTATGGACGCCGACATTGCCAAGCAGGCTCAGAAGATCCTGCAGAAGCAGGGCATCAAGTTCAAGACCGGCACCAAGGTCACCAAGGGTGACGACAGCGGTGCCACCGTCTCTCTGAGCGTCGAGGCCGCCAAGGGCGGCAAGGAGGAGACCCTGGACGCCGATGTCGTCCTGGTTGCCATCGGCCGCAGACCCTACACCGAGGGCTTGGGCCTGGAGAAGGTCGGCATCGAGAAGGACGACCGTGGCCGCCTGGTCATTGACCAGGAGTACCGCACCAAGGTCCCCCACATCCGGGTCATCGGTGACTGCACCTTCGGCCCCATGCTTGCCCACAAGGCCGAGGAGGAGGCCGTTGCCGCCATCGAGTACATCAAGACGGGCCACGGCCACGTCAACTACGGCGTCATCCCCAGCGTCATGTACACCCACCCCGAGGTCGCCTGGGTCGGCCAGAACGAGCAGGAGGTCAAGGCCGCCGGCGTCAAGTACCGCGTCGGCACCTTCCCCTTCAGCGCCAACTCCCGCGCCAAGACCAACCTCGACACCGAGGGTCAGGTCAAGTTCATCGCCGATGCCGAGACCGACCGCATCCTCGGTGTCCACATCATCGGCCCCAACGCCGGTGAGATGATCGCCGAGGCCACCCTGGCCGTCGAGTACGGTGCCTCTTGCGAGGACATCGCCCGCACCTGCCACGCTCACCCTACCCTGGCCGAGGCGTTCAAGGAGGCTGCCATGGCCACCTACTCCAAGGCCATCCACTTCTAAACTCCCTCACCTCATCCCTTCAACCCGCCCCATCATGTACCTCCACCTCTAGTCTAGCTTCGCTAGCAAATTCCGTGTAGCATTGACACCATTATATTTCCTATGTCCTTGAGTGTAATCAACCCTTTTTTTCATGAATCAAAGAGTATTTTGGAATTCTAGACCGGCTTGAAGCGAAGCACCTTTGCGTTCGTGGAGAATATCAAATCTTGTACTGGAGTATGTTCCATCCCTTCACGTAGAGTATATTCCATCGTGCCATAAGTACACTATCTGGATGTAGGTAGCGTAAGAAAGACAAACAGATAATGAATCCAGTGCAGTCCTCCACACGGCAAGTGGAGACATCGCAGCCCCTGTTGGAGCTCAACTCAGTCCGTTCTCGTTGCGCGTCAGCTTTTTCTGCATCGGAGGCCTATCAACAGTCCGCGGGCATGATATCACTGTCGAGGGCTACTAGATCTAGCTTTGCGCTAATCGGGACGAAGTCCTCTGGTAAAAATACCCATCAGCAGAGATAGAGGATACTATGCGCACATACAGACCACAAAGAACTCGCGGTGTAAAGAAGAACTTGAACCTCGAAAGGTAGATTGAACCCTCGGGCCGTCGTTGAGAGGCACTCATTCTGATCTCTAAGCTTCTGTAATCATCAGAGTTGTCATCATTCAACAATATCCGATGTGGTGTAATGGCTAACATCGCTGTCTCTCACACAGCAGCTCGGGGTTCGATTCCCCGCATCGGAGTTCACTTTTTGTATTCGTTTTGTCACACGCACAGTCGGTCTACCTGGTCTACCTAGTCTGCTTTTTGTTTTTTTTTGTTTTTTTTTTTGTTTTTTGCACAGCAGCATCATTACTCAGTGCGCGATTAAATATACCTTACTCATGAGAAAAAACAAAGGCCAGGCTGAGAAAGGAGTCTCTGGGTGTGCATAATACCAAATTTTCGGTCGGTCGTCCACACAACCAACCTCCTTCCCCTGCACAAAAGGCCCGCCCAACCCGTACAAGAATAAACGAGAGTAAAAAACGAACTCCGATGCGGGGAATCGAACCCCGAGCTGCTGTGTGAGAGACAGCGATGTTAGCCATTACACCACATCGGACCTTGTGTGATGGGCAGTTGTTATGTTGACACTATGTTCTTTTCTCGGCGGTAAACTATGTGCGTAGAGTACGTAGTGCCTTCGTATCTCAAAGTGAGGAGGCTCTTCCATCGTCATAAGCTGGATATATGCTCCAAGCTGTTGTTGCCACTTAGACTCTTACAGAAACAAGGTGTGGTGGCAACGGTAGAACATGTGGTTTGCCATGGCGGGGTTGGAGGGCTCTTTCTCGTTATCTCTTTTGGGCGTTATTCTGTCTTTGAAGATAGTTAGCTGGCTTGCATTTGCATCTGCTCGCTGAGAGGGTAAGAGATGGAGGTAAGAGTCATCCTGGGAGGCGGGAAAGCGATGAATGTTGGATGTAGCTCGCTGGTTGCTTCATTTGGTGGTAGTCGGTGGGTGTCTTCTTTGGAGATGGGTTTCTCGATGGGTCGTTGGTCTTATGTTAGTCTATTGATCATCAAAGACAGAGAGAGAAGGGAGAGATGGTAGCGTGCAAGACTACCAACCAACCAGGCACTGCATAGGAAAGCACAATCAAACCGTGATTCAAATTGCATGTAAGGATATCCTCGGGTATTGTGTGCCAAGTAGGAGAACATGGGAAGTTGAGAAAGGTAAGTCTGGAGCGCTAGCAAGAGTGATGCGTTCAAATATTATATAGGTGACAGCGAAGCTGGTAAGAACGTTGCCAGGTAGGTCAAGGAGGGCAAGCAGTCCCGTTTCGGAAGGAGCAGCAACCGCCGCCCCGGTGCCTTCCATCATTGGGTTAATATTTACGCCAAGCAGACCAAGTGGCTACGCAATCAGTGGTATATAGAGACACAACTTATGCCAATGGAGACCCTCGCACTGTCCCTGTAGACCTAACCAAGTACTCTCTCTCATCTCAACCAATTCAAGCCAAGCCATACACACGTAACATAACAGAACAGACAAACCCGAAACAACAACTCAGAAGCAAAAACATGCACTCTGCCCCATTTCCTACCCACGTATAACATCAGTGATGTGAATCCACCAGCTGAAAGGAGAACATCCCAACATAAGAAACTACCATAGCATCCACGCACATACAACGAAGAACCCGAAAGTGGGCCCGCCTTCGCAGATCTACCCCCCAACCCAACCCCATTGAATACCAATGTTCCAACCGCCTCATAATATAAACAAGAACCTAGGGCCACAAGAACCTAGGGCCACCCCGCGAGGAGACATCCATATCCACTTCGAAGCGAGACACCCTATCCCTATCGTCGCGGTTACGGCGTCGGCCCCCTTCTCGGGGTCGTAGGTATAGATCTGGATGGGTGTAAGTGTGGGTATAAGTATGGAAATGGATATGAGTATCGGTCTGGTGTCGATGGGATCGAGAACAAGGGTCAGCGTGCAGTCTGACAGTGCTGCAGAAGGTATACTGCTCGCTGGATCGGGGTCCGTCGAGGGGGTAGTGGTGTTGGTGATGATGGCGATAGCTCGCGCTGTCGCTGCTGTATCTCCTGTGGCGTGATTCATGGTGGTGGTTAATGTAATGGTAGTGGTCGTCGTCATAGGTGTCCCTTTCGATCAAGCGGGTGGGAGATTAGGCTCGGGTGTCTGGGACAATGCAAGAACCATGCTAAGGAAAGAGAGGAATCTTACAACCGAGAGGCAGGGGGTTGTGCTATCGCACCAGAGGCGACAGGGACGAAGCAAGGATCTGGACGGTGGCGCACCCGCGGAGCATCGTTATTTGTTGCCGGATGATACTCGTTTTTGATCCGATAATACACCTTGTTGGCGTGGTTGTTGAAGTGTTGTTCGAGGTGATTCTGGTGGCGGTGGAGACGCTGAATTGCATCGCGAGGCATGTTTGCTTGGTGTAGTGGCAGTCAAGGCCAACACTATTGCTCAAGTTGTGTATATTGAAAATTGGAATCAATAGATAGGTGGTCGTCTACATATTTATTTCCAAGAGCAGAGGAACAGCTATATTTCCCAAAGCGGCTGAAGTCAACAACCTCACCGAGTCTGGCCAGATTGTGCTACACAGGGTTCATCGCCGTGTAATACAGCATGTCATGTAGTTTGCCTTCTTCTTGCAAGGCCTGCCCGGGGTCTAGGCACCAAAAAAGAAGAATATGACCCCAAATCACCTACATTTCGATGTGGCGTTACTTCGGAAAAGTCGTAGTGGTATCTCAGCGCTGAATTCATGCAATCTTGCAGTAATGGGAATCAAGAATGGAGTCAAAGCCTCCCTGCAACCAGCCAGTAATGCCCAATGTTTTTCACGGGATCATCAAACAATAACCTGATGCGGAGTGAGGTTTACTCCAACTTGTAGATATGCCCAGAGGACGTAGGTAGCTCTTTGCTATAGGTCATCGACGGGGCAAAGGGCTGGACCCATTCTTTCAGCACAGCCAGGAAAGTGTCACTGACAGCTCTCACGGCCTCGTCGCGTGAAGTGCCAGAGCTCTCGATGTAGACTGGAATTATCAGTCAGCAAATCAAAGTCCTCACTTGTGGACATGGAACTCACTCTTCACTTTCGGCTCAGTGCCAGAAGACCGGAACGTGAATCGAACTTCACGATCAAGCCATAAAGTCAACATCTGACTGTTCTGGTCAATCGGGAGCTTGGGTTTGTGGTCCTGCGTGCCAGAGTCATATCCTTGTGTCATGTCTCGCCAGCGGTGGATTCTGAACGACCCAAGCGATTCCTCAGTGCGGAAGGGACCGGCTCTGATTGCATCGAACAAGCTCGCTGTAACCTCAGGGCTTGGGGACCGGAAGTAAGTGTTCAGTGTTTCGTGATGTCCATGCTCTTTGAAAAGCTGTTGCAATTTCATATAAGGTGTCATGCCCTCGGCCTTCCACTTTGCCTCGGCCAGGAGGAACACCATCGCCGCGGAGATGCCATCCTTGTCGTACGACACCTCGGGAAACATGTACCCAAGAGCCTCCTCATAGGCAAACGGAACATAGTAGCCCAGCTCCTCGAGTCTGCGGGCTGTGTTTCCCATCCACTTAAAGCCCGTGAGAGACTCCTCATAGTGCATACCCTTTGCTTTGGCCATCTTCTCCAGCATGCTGGACGAAACGGCGGAGTTCAAGACTGCAACTCGTGTGTCACTGTCTATGGTTTCTAAGGAGTCAAACAGGTGTGACGCCAGGAGAACACCCAAATGATTTCCAGTGTAAATAAACCATGATCCGCTACACAAGAGGCATCAATTAGCGCAGAGTTTATAGCTCAGCCATCAGTGATACTTACTCCACTTTCTCAGCCGCAGCAAACCGATCGGCATCTGGATCATGGGCAATTACCAGAGGTCTCCCCTCCTTGTCCGCAAGTTGTAAAGCTAGGTCTAGAGCGCCGGGCTCTTCCGGGTTTGGGAAGGCAACTGTGGGAAAGTCTGGGTTTGGCTCCGCTTGCTCTGGCACGACGGTGAAATCACTTATGCCGACGGAACGACACAACCCAGGAAACACCAAGCCACCTACTCCGTGTAAGGGCGTGTAGATGAACGGCTGCGGCTGTTTCCATTCCCGGACGGTATAAGTCTGCAGACAATGTCAGCCGTGAAGAGCACGACAGCACAGAAAACCACTCTTACAGCGTACTGCCAAACTGCCGTGTTGTAATGGGGCAGGATACTTTCGTAAATCTTGTCGCGCAGATATTCGCTTGGTTGCAGCTCATCCCAGGCAGTAGGCCATGGGACTTGATTCTCTTCGATGGATTGGGCTATCTCCACGTCCATCGGACTATTGATTTGGGCACCATTCTTGAAATAGCTGGGATTCGTCAGTGATACTCAAAAGTGGTTGGAATTGTGCGATCAGACACTTTGTAGCCTGCAGCACGATCAGTCAGCAATCATTGTCTCGAACAAACAAGGAGATGAGGAAGAGACGGCGAAGGCCTACCATTGTCCTGCGCTGGATTCTGCAGTTTGAAAATTAGCCACCACGGTCTAAGCTGCCCAATGAACATGGAACAAAAAGCTTACATGGCTTGCGGTAACCATAATGCCTGCAGCAGCGTGCAGATGGGTTACACCAAAAGGGACGGTTGGAGTAACCGAGGACTCCGAATAGAACCAGACCGGGATCTGCTGTGCGATGAAGGCATTGGCAGCCAATGCGGCAAACTTATCCGAGTGATACCGCGCATCGTGGCCGATGACCACACCGTAAGATGCGATGTCGCCGTGGCGGGTTTTCAGGTACTTTGCTAAGCCTTGGGAGGCCTGAATGACGGTCAGGGAGTTCATACAAGAGAAACCTGCTGCCATCCGTCCCCGCAAGCCCGCAGTGCCAAATTGGATGCCTGCGATAGACGATTAGACGATAGCTATCGTGAGGGAGGCATGCCGCATGTGCCACAAAGGCCAATGGGGTTTTCAAGAGAGGGGTTCAGTAGGATGTCAAGCCCAGTGCTGACATACGTTTTTGCAAGCGCAAGGCCAATTCAGCCCAGTCCCCGGAGTCCCGAAGCTGTTCAATTTCGGCACGGGTGGATGGATCCTGTCATGGGGCGTTAACATTCACGTTTCAAGATCCGCAGTAGAGCCTATCGATAAACATACCTGGTCCCACTCCAGCCACCTTTGGATCAGTGGAGTGAGGGCCTCCTACGCAAACGACAAACCAAATGGAGTCAGAAAATAAGCTGATTTCGGGAAGCCGTGAGTTGCCGGAGGAAAAAATAACTATACCTCTTGTGGATTGGTGGCCATGTTGGATCATACGACGAGGGGACAACGAAAAAGAATAATAATGGGGTGAGATGATCGGAATGTGTTCACGTCGGGAAGAAGACCGATGGAGGGGGGGAGGGGGGGGGAGAGAGAGAGAAAGGAACAAGAAGTAATGGGGAAAGGAAGCACGGAGTACGGGGAGTAGATGGGGTATTGAAAGGGGAAAGAAAATCAAGCGAGAATAGTTAGCCAGCAAACAATAATAATCAGCAACGACGAGAATACAAAGAGAACAAAAGAACAAAAGCTTTGACAAGTAGTGACAAGTCAAGTTACTGAGTAAGTCATCAAGATTATGTTGGTGTGGGGGGAGAAGGAGAAGGAGGGGGGGGGGGGGAATTCAAAAGGAGGAAAAGGCAAAAGCAGCACAGCACAGCATGAATTCAGGTTGAAGATGGAGAGAGACAGACAGAGAGTGGCTTTGGGCGGGATGTCTGGATCCGGTGACGATCGGCGGCTCTCCCCGCCCTGGACTGTTTTATTCTTAGCTGTGGTTGTGGACTGTTGTTACAGTTGTTACTGTTGTTGACTGATGTTCCACTACGGAGCACTACGTACTGTTTAATTGCTTGGTGCTTAACTTAGTGCTTTTAGTGCTTAGTAGTTAGTTAGTCTCCGCCATTCTTTCCGCCGGGCCTCTTTCAGGTTTCAACATCCAACCCGCGCGTCCTTGCATTCTTCCTCCCTCTCCTCCTCTCTCTTCTATTCTATCTCTTCCTCTCCCTCCCTCCTAACCCCCTTCTTTATTCTCTCTCCAATCTCATTCCCACCACCTTTCCATTCTCGATTGGCACTATCAGCAGTACAATGCCCTTTCTCACTGACCGTTCCTAAACATCCACGACCCGCAATCGTGTTCACCGCGCAGGCAGCAATGGCCGCAATGGGGAAGAGTCCTGCGACCCGGAAGGAAACCCTTCTCTCGCGCCGCTACATCGAGGGCCTTATCGCAGATGGGAAACAGATCATCATCTTCGACGATCGTGTCTTGAAAGTCGACGCTTGGATTCCCTATCACCCCGGAGGTGATAAATCCATCAGACACATGGTCGGAAAGGATGCAACGGATGAGATCAATGCGTACGTGGCCTCGCGCTTGGGCCATACTTAGGCCAATCTTTGCCATGGAACTATAACTGATCGTCTGTTTGAATATAGATTGCACTCCAAGGAAGCGCGTCAACGCATGCTATCGTTCCAGATCGGCCGCATCCAGGGCCCATGGTTGAACTTCCTGCCTCCGTTCCAGGGCGGGAAGTTCCGTCCCTACACCGAAGATTGCGTCTCCGACGGCGAGAGTTCAGGCCAGGAGAGTTCCGGACAGGAAACGTCACAGCCTCCGTCCCCGATCTTCGACGCAGTAGATTCGACTGCGTCTCTTCGCCAGCGAAAGGCCCCCTCCGCCGAAACCCCGGATTCAGCCGCACCGCTGGAGGACGAGTCCAAACCCAAACCCTTCTTTCTCGATGCGCGCACCCGGGAAGAGATCATCTTTGACACTGCCAAATATCCCTCCCTCGACGCAGCAAATCAAGACAAAATTCGGCAGCGATACCGTCAATTAGACCAACAGATTCGGGCGGAGGGTCTGTACGATTGCCGCTACTTCTCATACTTCATCGAATGTTGTCGGTATACACTGTTCGCGGGCCTGTCATACTACTTCCTCCATCTAGGGTGGTATGGAACGTCTGGGTTCTTCTTGGGATGCTTTTGGCACCAGCTTGTCTTTACCGCCCATGATGCTGGCCACATGGGTATAACGCATAACTTTCACTTCGATTCAGTGATTGGTATTATTATCGCCGACTACCTGGGAGGACTGAGTCTCGGGTGGTGGAAACGGAGCCATAACGTTCATCATATCGTGACCAACGCCCCCGAGCATGATCCAGACATCGAGCATATGCCGTTCTTTGCCATTTCCCACCGCTTCCTCACCAGTCTGCGCAGTACATACTATGACCGCGTGATGACCTTCGACGCTGTAGCGAAGTTCATGCTGCGCTTCCAGAACTATCTCTACTACCCTATCCTACTCTTTGGGCGATTCAACCTGTACCGTCTGAGCTGGGAATATCTATTCATGGGCCAGGCGCCGAAGAAGGGCCCTGCCTGGTGGCATCGCTGGTTCGAGATCGGCGGGCAGGTCTTCTTCTGGTTTTGGTTCGGCTACGGGGTGATGTACTGCACCATTCCCGACTGGAAGAGCCGGTTGACCTTCCTTATGATCTCGCACATGGTCACCTCGCCCCTCCACGTGCAGATCACCCTCTCCCATTTCGCCATGTCCACGTCCGACATGGGGGTCACCGAATCCTTCCCCCAGAGAATGTTGCGCACCACCATGGACGTAGACTGCCCGACTTGGCTCGACTGGTTCCACGGCGGCCTGCAATTCCAAGCCATCCACCACCTGTACCCGCGCATTCCCCGCCACAACCTGCGCCGCACGCAACGGCTGGTTCTGGATTTCTGTCGCGACACCGGCATTCCCTACACCATCTTCACCTTCTACGATGGCAACAAGGAGGTCATCGGCAAGCTCGGCGATGTGGCCAAGCAAGTCCGCATTCTGGAGGAATGTAGAAAGTCGTGTGCTCAACAGGGAGTCTTCTCGGATCACCACTAGAACCCAAACTCACTAGGAACAGACGGATGCTTATACTTGGTGGTCGCGAGTCCTGCTGTGGGTTTGTTCTCCGGCGGTATGGTATGTAAACGTAGAACTGCTTTTGTATATAGTTCAGTCCCCTTGGCCAGACACAGACACGCATGTACATGTACACTTGGACGCAGGACTTACATTACGGGTCGCTGTTTTCGATGGTCACTTATGAAGAATCTGACGTTTCTAATGACGTGTTGTTCGATTGGCTGGGCTCTTTTGGTCGTCCGACAAGTTAGATTGTTGTCATTTGTGCTGGGAGCATCCTACATGATCTCCCATTACCTTCTCTATTAGAGTGTAACTTATGTCTAGCTCATGCTACCAGCAGAAGCCCTAACATAAGCCCAGGCGAATCTCCCTCTTAATCCAGGGTATCATATATACTGCAGCCCGCGATCACATCTTCCTATTGAAAATCCATCTCATAACATCATAACTAACCAACCATCCCCCCGGCCCTCGCCACCTTCTTCGCCCTCTGCTGCCTCCGATTATGATTCGCCCGACTAGCCTTATTCTCCTCTTTGCGCTGTCGCGCCGCAGCGGGATTCTGTCCCTGGCTGTCCCCTGCGACAGCACTACCACCACCAGAACCACCGCCGCGTCCGCCACCTCGCCCTCTCCCACCTCTCCCTCTGCCCCTACCACCACCACCACCACCCCTCCCTCTCATCGGGGCCATCTCTCCCCCACCCCCACTCCCACCCTCCGCATCTTCATCCTCAACACCGCGCCGATAAGCCGTGGAGACCAAAACCGGCTGGTTCAGCCCCCCGTCTCTTCCCCCCTTGCCATCCAGCACCGCCTCCTCCAACCGCCTCAACCGCTTCGGATCCCGCGCCACCATCACCGCCCACCCCTCGATCGCCTCGTCGGTCATCCCGGTCTCGCGCTTCAGCGCGGCGCGGGGCTGCGCGCGCCGGGTCGCGGAGTCGCGGGCGAACAGCGCCGGGTTGGATTGGTAGGCGCGGTAGAGGGTGAGTTCGGTTTCTTCGGGGCTGGTGGTCGTGGGCTTGGGGGGTTCGTCCTCGGCAGCGGCGACGGTCGTGTCCACCGTGCCGCCGACGTCGGTCACGTCGTAGGTGTCGTCGCGTTCGTCGTCGTCGGAGTCGAAGGTGGCGAGGGCGGACATGATGGCTGCTTTCTGGGCGGCGTGGTTGGAGCGGTCCGACAATAACGAGTCGGCGGTGAGGGTGGGGTTGGCGCGGCCGAAGCGGAGGGATTGGTGTTGTGAGGTGGTGTCGGAGCGGGAGAGTTCTGCGAGATCGATTTCGCGGTCGAAGATGTTCTTGCGCTGGGGTGGGGGTGCTGTTGTTGTACTGAGTAGGGTTGGGGAGCGTGGGGGGAAGGGGTCGTGGTGGGTGGTATTCGATGAGAGGGATGGGGTGGGCAGGGATTCGGATTTGTCGAGGATTTGTAGTTCGGGGGCCAGGGAGTCGTCGAGGAGGTGGGCGACGATGGTTTCGGGGTCGTCGTTGTAGTGGTCAAGCAGACGCGCGATATAGCCGGTGCCCAGGTCGGGGAAGAGGTCTTGGACTTGCGTGATGAGGGACATCTTGTGGATGTGGAGGTCCTCGGCGGCCTTAGGCAGCAGGTCGTCCTCCGTGGCCCGGCCTTTGCCTTTATTGACGGCGGCGCGCTTGCGCGGTTTCTGGTAGCGGCGGTGCAGGTGCTGTGTTTCGGCTTGGTATGCGCGTAGGCTGGCGAGGAGGTCCTGGCCGCGCTTTTGAGGGTTGACATCTGTGCTGAGGTGGCGGTCGAGGCGGCCTAGGAAGTCGGTGCTGCAGATGACCTCGGACAGGACGGTGGACTCCTTCTTCGTGCCGATACCAACCCCGGCGCTGGCTTTCATCCCGTACAGCTGGTCCAGGAGCGACGACAGGTTGGGCTTGGAGCTCTTGAGAAAGGAACACAGCCCCACGTAGACACTCGCCACGAGCACTTTGCGGACGTCCTCGCGCTTATGTGCTTGATATGCGTCTACTACAGTATCGAGGAAGTCGGAGCCGGCCATGAGCACCTGGCCGCAGCCGGGCAGGACCGATGACAAGATCGTCAGAAGTCGGAAATCCACTAGCACCCCGGAAGGCTTGCTGAGGTTCAAGGACGAGAGATCCCTGATTGCTTGGACCTTGGCCTTCTCCAGGCTGGACGTGATCGCATCCTCATGCTTGTCCCATGCATCAGCCAGTAGCCTCTTCAATGCGGAGCTCGAGGGGTAACAGCAACACATGCCAGCAAGAACTCTCCAATCCAGAAGCTCCGGCGGGGTTGGCGAGACCTCGAGGAGAAGCCTTCGCGTGAGGAGAAAGCATAATTTCCGCAATGAGCGTGTGATCGGCGCCGTCTGAGACCGAAATAAGCTGGAGTTGATCGATTGGCGGTAGAAAGAACTCAAGAATGCCACGGTAGACTCGTCGTTCAAGGCATGTTCCTTGAACTGCGACGCGGGAGCTTCAACGCGCAAGCCCAGAAGCATGATCCAAGCATTTATATAGAGCTCCCATTCCGCGGGGGGGATGTTGCGCTGCACCTCTGGAGGTGGGACCGGCGCAAGAGGTGGTAAACCCGGCATGACTGTGAGGGTGTAATTAAGCGTAAGCGACGGTGAAGGTCTGGTGATTCAAGATCGCAACAATGGCACGGAAGTCTATAGCGAAGGACAGATATCATGAATCATCAACATCATCACTGGTCGTTTGCAACAAGACATCATCATCGGGCTCTATCACCGCCCGCCGCCGGACCATCTATTCCTGGCTTAACCTGATCCAGACGCCGCCGCGCAGTATCTGCTGACTCATCCACGATCGCGCTCAATGCGGGTTAGCGGTTGATAGGCGAGGATGCCAAGGCCAGCACCCGCACAAGAGCCGCTAAGCGCACGATGAGAAAAAAAAAATAGTGGGAGGATTGATTTCAATCTATTAGTCCTCGAATAGCTACAGACCCTCTTCAACAAGCCATCATCACCTTACCGAACCCCCGAAGTTCAGGTCTTGATTGGTAGCCAGCCTCACCTTACGGTATGTTCCCTTTCCTCCTTTTCTTCCTCTCTTTGAACGACAGCTGATCCAACCTCCCCCTCCCCTCCACAGCCATCTCAATCCCACGGTCTCACCCCACCGCTCAATACATTCAAGATGTCTTTCCAGAAGCCCGAGAAGGATTTCGGCGAGGGCCCCGTACGTTGCTCCTCACTACTACTCGCACCTTGCTGTCTCGTCGCAAAGACACGAATTGGCATAGCGACTTGATACAAAGCAAAACGAAAACAAGCGACTAACCTCATCTTGCTTTCCGCTGGTCTACAGAAGGTCCACAAGATCCGCATCACCCTTACCTCTCGCAAGGTCGCCTCCCTCGAGAAGGTCTGCACTGAGCTGATCGACCGTGCCCGCTCCAAGTCCCTCCAGGTCAAGGGTCCCGTCCGTCTCCCTACCAAGACCCTTCACATCTCCACTCGTAAGACCCCCAACGGTGAGGGTTCCAAGACCTGGGACAAGTACGAGATGCGCATCCACAAGCGTCTCATCGAGTAAGTTCTTCCACAACGATTCGATTGACAATGCACCCGGCAAGAAACTAACATGGAAACCCCAAAGCCTTCTCGCCCCCACCGAGACCGTCAAGCAGATCATCATCAACATCGAGGCTGGTGTTGAGGTTGAGGTCACCATTGCCGCTTAAATGCGTGTCTAAACTCTTCGTTGAGACTGGTGACCGTGGCGGCAGCGGCGCCGACGATGTGCTCGTCTGGCTTCTTGGGAGAGATTCCGCTTCCAGGCCTGTATCAAGCAGTTGTCGATACTCGCTTAAACCTGGCATAAAAATGAAAAACTTCTAAAAAACGCGTAATCATGAGTTCTGTGCGGATATGTAGCTCGTACAGATGCTATTAGCCTGTAATTTCGACCCTGTGCCAATATCCTGTCCAATCCAACCTGGACGCCATTCGTCTTTGGGAATAATAAGTAAGCAGCTATTTACAATACAAAGGCTAAGCATGATACTAAGTCCTTTCCGCTCGGTTCACCTGTCCCACTAGAAGTCGAAGCTCACCCACTCGGTCTTTGGCGGTACGCTGGGAATGACCCCGTTCTCGAAACACCCATTCGTCACGAAGTACTCGTACTGTTGTGTAATCTCGGCCGTATACTCCTCGGGCCGGGCCTGAGCATCCCTTAGACTAGCTTCATCAGGTGGCCCATCTGGGAAAAAGATGCGGACGTAGATTTCACGATCCTGCGGATGAAGATAGCACGGTACGTCGTTGATATATTCCACGGGTTGACCCTTCCAAGAGGTGAGCTTTCTTGTCCTGGGATCGCGAATCGTCTGTCCGTTGAGAGGTGGGATGGGGCTGAGCTCGCTTGGGTCTCTCGTTCTGATGACAGGGGCTGGCCCAGGTCCCAATGGCGCAGTAGGAGCAGCAGGGGCTGCCAGAGCAGCCGCTGACGTTGTCGGTATGCCGAACCCCGAAGTTGCCGGCGTTGATGCTGCCCCGAACCCAGAAGTTGCCGGCGTTGATGCTGTCCCGAACCCAGAAGTTGCCGGCGTTGACGCTGTCCCAAACCCAGAAGCCACAGGAGCCCCAAACCCTGGCGCTGCCGGTGTACCGAACCCTGGCGCTGCGGGCGTTGATGCTGCTCCAAACCCAGAAGCTGCTGCCGGCCTTGCAGCGGAAGCTTGCTGACCCAGCTGCGCGAAACCAGACTGGCCAAATACTGGCTCGGCTGGGGGTTGGTTTGTGGCTCCAGAGGAGGGAATTGCTTGGCCAAATGGGTTTGATGGCTGACCACTACCAAAGGGTGATGCTGATGGTTGACCAATGGTTGACCCACCAGATTTTGCATTTGCAAACTGCGCAAACGGGGAGGGCGTGGATGCAGATGCGCCAAAGCCGCCAGATGCCTTACTAAACGGAGACGCTGTGGCTCCTGCAGCTGAAGGCTGACCGAAGGAAGGCTGGCCGAACCCAGGTGCGGGTTGCCCAAATGACGGTTGCCCAAAAGCCGATTGTGCGGATGGCTTGCCAAACGACGAGCCCTGGTTGAAGGCACTTGGTTGTCCAAAGCCAGTTGCATGTGCAAGATTCGAAGGTTGACCGAACCCAATGGGTGGAGCGATAGATGGTTTTGCGTAAGCTTGATCGCCCAATAATGCTGGCTCACCGAAGGCTGGACCTGTGGCAGGGGGTGCCTTGATCTCTCCAAATAGCTTAGGCGGAGCGCCGAAAGTCGTGCCGGTCGTGTTGTTCACAATGTCAATTCGATTCGGATGCTCCTTGGCACCATCTAGGATATATCTGACAGCTCCATCCAGGTCCCTGAGAGCGTTTTCCATTTGGTTTCGTGCCTCATTGTGGAGACCCTGGGCTTCTGAAACTGCTACCTCAATTGGGCTACCTTGAGCGACTAGTTCATAATGACGGAGTCGTAGTTCTTCGAAGCTCTGTTCTCGCTGAGGGCCTCCAAATAGTTGCCTGGGGGCATCTCTTCCGGGGCCATAGCATGAAAAGATCCATTCAGGGAGCCCCTTGCCAGGAGTCAGGTCTGCTTTGATATCTGCTGCGGTGATCCCATATCTGACCATGTTTAGTGCGCATTCTGAGATCTCGAGGAGATGACATGATCTACTCACTGTGCATTTTGCTGATTTTGCCCACCACGACCTATATAGCAATCAGCAATCGCGTACTCATGGGTAGTCCGTTGACGGCAGCATGTAAACTCCGACAGACGAGGTGAGAAGTAGCGAAATCAAGGCAAGCGCGACAATCTCAATCAGACGAACAAAAAGATTTACATCAGACACAAAAGTACTATGGATCACCAAAATGATCAAGAACAAAATCACAAGCATTTAGGGGAAAGGTGCATCTTGCGCATGGGCAAGACGATTCACATACCTCCACCTCCGCCGCCTCCGCCGCCGCCGCCGCCGGAGAGAGCTGCGAATTTGTTCCCGCCTACTGTTTGCTTGCCGGGGTGCTCATTGTAGCATCTGTCTGTAGGTCAAATTAGTAATGTGTCCGTGAGACATGATTCAGAGCCAAGACAAGCCAATTCAAAGGTAAGAGACTAAGCAAGCTCATACCTCCATATTTACACCGGCCTTTCAAGAAATGCTGGCAAACGGGCATGTTGCGTTCGCGTCGGGCGTCCTCACTCGGCCAGTAGGAGCATACGAGAACGTCCTGTCGAGTCTTCGTTCGCGATAGCGGCCTCTCTCAGAGCCTGTCCGTTGATTCTCGATAGGCCAATTCCAATCTATGTGTAATTTTTCTAATGAAGAAGAAGGAATATAAGTCAACTGAAAGCGATCCAAGATACAACAATCCTCGCAGTTCTTCAGCGTCCAGTGACTTGCAAACGAACAATTGATATTCTTTGTTGCAGATGAAGAGTTGTTCCGGTGACAGTACGTTTCCCCGACCCGGACTCTGTTCGCCGCCTTCTGGGAGCATTTGCCGTATTTGGCTTGTACCGGCAATACATCCAGAATACTCCCTGCACTTACCCTCACCTCTCTGCTTGTGCTCTGATGGGCCGTTACTTCCTTGCTTATTGCAAAACACATTCATACATTTACATGCCCGAAGAATGGTTCACCTCTATGAGTGTCGAAGTTCATAGTAGTCATTACCACGCCTGTTGTCTATGCACAGTAAGTAGATCATAGAAGGAACAACAGCAACTATGTCCTCTAATCGTTATGCCAATGCATCATAAAATTACATTAGTCCCCAGGTGAACTCCTATGCTCCGAGCAAAATCCCATCAAGTTGGCTTCGAGACAAATTGTGGCCAGCACCGACGCTGTGCCTCAGGACCGTTGGTTAGCGCCGTTGGTCGACGATACGAGTTTCGAATGGGCCAGGCTTTGGCGCAGAACGTCCCAGTTCAATCCATCGACCTTTTCCCCACCTAGCGACTCAAGGTCGGTAGACAGACCATTCAACTTCCCTGTCGCTAAGCGTCGCATCATGACCGTATCTTTATGACCATGAAGCCCCCGAGCATTGCCCCGGAGCAGAGACTCCTCGAACCATTCTTCCTCCTGCTCATCGAACGGGAGACCGATCAGTTCCATAGCCCTCGCACTTCGCGCGGGGCCGGCCTCGCTCGTCAGGACAAATTCAATGAGCTTCTCCAGGTAGCTCTGACGGAGCTCTTCATCATGCTTGCGCGTGAAGTAGAACGCCTCGGTTACGCTTGCGCGGCACATGGTCTGGAAGAAGGCCCGCTGAACCTTCTCGGTAGCCAATGGCGGGGCCACGGTAAGGTAGTATGCCATGACAAGGCTGTCGTCGTGTCTGGGGAGGGTTGGAAGGGTTAAAGCGTAGAGGATTTCGTCGGGAAATGTGGGGATGATGGAAGGCTCAGTCAGGTATTCGACAGCTCGCTGCTCATAGGCAATGGTCAGTCATCTGCAGTCGGCTATCACATCGGCGAAGATAAAGCGTACCTTGAACTCCAATCTGTCAAGGTTCCAGAGACCGTCTATGAACAGCCTATACTTCTCCGGTAGGTGACACCGGCGGGAGAATTGCGTAGCCGCATCGTTGCTGGCGCCGCGGCAGTCTTTGAGGATGTAGTATATCAACGATTGCTTGTGATGGATGTCGAGTGGAGAGGATACGATGTGTCCGATCAGTGTGCGCAGGTCAGTGTTCGACCGAGGAGGGTAGAGCCGCGTGACTATCAAATTGTGCCTGGTCAATCCTTTGTTCGAATTTCCAACCTTGGGGAGCGGAGAGAGCTACCTGCTTTGACGCCGAGCAATCCCAAGAGTCTGTCTGCAAAAAGCCGGTCCTCTAAGGCGCGGCGATTTGAGATGATCTGTTCAATGAGCTTGCCATCGTAGCTGAAGTCCTTATTGAACTGAAAGATGGAATCGAAATCCTCCCAAGGCGCCATCTTGAGCAGTGCTGGCGAGTTGAACACACTCCTTCGGAATCTCCTCGAGCGCCGACGGTAATATTGAAGCCGATATTGACAGTACCGTACGGCTCGATCGGTACATGAAGGCGGTGGGGCATGTGACTGGAAGATGCAAATGTTGTGGCAGAAAAACAACACTATTCCGCTTCGGGCGGCGATGTAAACAACCCACTTTCCACCTGCGGCGCTTTCAAACGTCAACTTTGGCACCTGCACAACGCTTGAGATTCCGCCTTGATGCAGCACCCACAGGCGACTAACAACAGTACAGCATAATGTCGTCAATTGCCAGAGGCCGGCCATCCCGGCGCGCTGCCCCTCGCAGAAGTTACGTCCCAGAAGAAACGCCATCAGACGAGGAAGATCCTGGAAATGTCACCCCCACCGCGCCGTCCCGCCACGGGGATGATGACGACGACGAAGAGGAGGGCGAACGTACCCCGGTCCCCAAGAAGCCCAGCGCAGTCAAGAGATCATCACGCAGACAAGTCACCGCCGAACCACCTGCTTCCACATCGAGTGCCGCTCGCACGACACGCAGACCCCGCAAGTCGAGGGCGGTAGACCCGTCGGAGTCGTCGCAACTGATTGATGAAGGCGAAAGTCTCGCCAGCATTCAAGAGCCCGAAATTTCATCTACAATGAGCGCTCCTCGCGCAACGCGCAGATCACGCAAGTCGAGGACGGTCGACCCATCGGAGTCTTCGCAGTTGATGGATGAGGGTGAAAGTTTTGCAAGCGTCAGAGAGCCAGAGGAGCCCACTACATCGAGCGCTCCTCGCACGACGCGCAGGACCAGAAAATCGAGGACAGTGGAGCCGTTGGAGTCGTCGCAGTTGATTGACGAGGGTGAAAGTCTGGCTAGCATCAGAGAAACAGAAGAACTCACTGCATCGAGCGCTCCTCGTACTACACGCAGGGTCCGCAAGTCGAGGGCTGTAGAATCATCGGAGTCATCGCAGTTGATAGATGAGGGTGAAAGTCTTGCAAGCGTCAGAGAACCGGAGGATCCGTCAACAGCTGCCCCTCGTCGCAGAACACGCAAGTCAAGGGCAGTAGAGCCGTTGGAGACATCGCAGTTGACGGAGCCTAACGAAGAGGGTGAGAGTGTTGCGACAGTGAAAGCACCGGGCTCTCCGTCTGAGGAAACTCTCGTTGCAGTGAAAACTAAGGGTACGATCTCACCCCGCGAAAGTCGCATCTCCACGCCCAATTTGGACCATATCTCATTCTCCAATCTAGAGCCCTCCACATCCCCGCAGCCGCAGCCTCGAATGCAAAGAGAAAGCGTTCCGCCACTCGCCGATATTACAGATGCGGCTGTGAACAAGTCCCCGTCGAAGTCGCCATCGAAGTCCGTTGAAGACGAAAAGCCGCAGATACCCGCAATCAACCCGAATACAGCATTGCTCGAGAAGCCCATGGACATCATGCTCAAGTCCCGGTCAGCCGCTCCGTCGGCCTCCCAGGAGCCGTCAGGTCCGACCAGTCGCTTGATGATCACTACCCTGGTCATGATGAATTTCAAGAGTTACGCCGGAAAGCAGATCGTGGGCCCCTTCCATGCATCCTTTTCCTCCGTTGTCGGGCCCAATGGATCCGGCAAGTCGAACGTCATTGATGCATTGTTGTTTGTTTTCGGGTTCCGAGCGAGTAAAATGCGTCAGGGCAAGATCTCGGCTTTGATCCATAACTCGGCCAATCACCCAAACCTGCCCTCTTGTGAAGTTGAGGTTCATTTCCAGGAGATCCTTGACCTGCCCAACGGCACCCATGAAGTAGTCCCAGATTCCCAACTTATTATCTCCCGAAAGGCTTTCAGAAACAACAGCAGCAAGTACTATATGAACGCCAAGGAAACGAGCTTCACCGCCGTGACGACGCTGCTCCGTGATCGAGGTATTGATCTAGACCACAAACGCTTTTTGATTCTTCAGGGTGAAGTCGAGTCTATCGCCCAGATGAAGCCTAAGGCTGCCAACGAACACGAGGATGGACTCTTGGAGTATCTCGAGGACATCATCGGAACTTCGAAATACAAGACGCCTATCGACGAGGCGGCTACGGAGCTCGAGACGCTGAACGATGTCTGCGTCGAAAAAAATAACCGTGTCCAGCACGTTGAGAAAGAAAAGGTTGCCCTCGTAGATAAGAAGGACAAGGCCCTGGCTTATATTCGGGACGAGAACGAGCTTTCTGAGAAACAGTCCGCTCTCTATCAGATCTACATTGATGAATGCGCGGACAACATTCGAGTCACCGAAGAAGCCATTCTACAGATGCAGGAACTGCTGAACATGGAGCTCGAAAAGCACGAGGGTAACGAGTCCGGGATCAAAGAGCTTGAGAAGGCCTACAAACGCGGAATGCGAGAATACGAAAACATGGAGAAAGAGGTGCAGGCGATTGTCAAAGAAATGGCCAAATATGACAAGGAGAACGTGAAGTTCGAGGAGAAAAAGAAGTTTTTGGTCGGCAAGCAGAAGAAGCTAGAAAAGACCATGCAAAGCACACGCCTGGCTGCTTCCGAATGCGAAAGCCTCGTGCAGAAACATTCTGATGATATCGAGAAGAAGACGAATGAGACCTCTGAGCTTGAGAAAGAGATGAAGGCTGAAGAGCAGGAGCTGGCTGAGATTCGTGAGAGCCTCAAGGGCAAAACCCAGGGACTTTCAGATCAGATCACTGCGAAGCAAAAGTCGTTGGAGCCTTGGGATGAGAAGATCAACAAAAAGCTCTCGGCCGTCGCTGTGGCGCAGAGTGAGCTTGACATCCTTCGCGAGCGAAGCAATGCTGGTACTGTTCTGCTCGAGGAGGCGCAGTCGAAGATCTCTTCCATCGAGGAAACGCTGGCCACCAAGGAGAACGATCTCGAGGAACGTAAAGCTCAGAAGACTACCCTTGAAGAAGAGGTTGCTAAGCTGAAACACGACCTCAAGAAATATGCTCAGAGAGAACCAGAGGTACGAGCCCATGTTTCCAGTGCTCGACAGAGAGCCGAGGAGGCAAGAGCTAGTCTTGCAAGCACTCAGAATCGTGGTAGCGTTCTGTCTGGTTTGATGCGCCTCAAAGAGTCCGGTCGTATCGAGGGCTTCCACGGTCGGCTTGGAAACCTCGGTATGATTGATGAGAAGTTTGACGTTGCTATTTCGACCGCGTGTCCTGCGCTGGACAATATGGTGGTTGACACGGTTGAAGTTGGTCAGCAGTGCATCGATTATCTGCGGAAGAATAACCTTGGTCGAGCCAACTTCATCCTACTCGATCGCCTCCCGCGCCGGGATATGTCCAAGGTCTCTACTCCAGAAAAGGTCCACCGACTCTTTGACCTGGTCAAGCCCAAGGACCCTAAATTCGCTCCAGCTTTCTACAGTGTGATGCAGAACACGCTAGTCGCCGAGGACCTGGAACAGGCCAACCGCATTGCATATGGT